CCGACCACTCGCCATACTCTGGCCCTACACCGCCACCCGTCCGCCCCCAACACTCGCCCGCCGACACCCACAACAAAACACGGATGGCCTCATACCAGCACCAGCAGCCGCCATTCTATGGCCAGCACGGCGGCGGCCCACAGTTCCCGCCCACGCCGAACCCGCAGGACGACTTCGCGATGGTTGGCACCCCAGCGCAGCCCCTGCTCCCGCCCCGCTTCACCACCACACCCCTTGCTAACCCCTCTCCGTCGCTCTATGTAGCCGTACTATGACGCCTCCTTCGCCGCCTCCTTCGGCCACCCCTTCGACCTCACGGGCGCCACCGGCACGCACGCCTCCGGAGGCATCCCGGCCATGGCGCGCGGGCCCTCGCCCACCCACGAGGGCAGCGCGAGCAGCACCGGCAGCGGCCACAACTCGCGGGGCGGCCGCGGGTCGAGCGAGGAGAAAGAACTGACGCCCGGGCAGAAGCGACGGAAGGAGCAGAACCGCGCCGCGTACTTCCCCCCTGCCTCCCCCTCTCCCCCCCCCCCCCCCCCCCCCCCCCGCCGCACTAGACAGCTAACACACCCCCAGACAACGCGCGTTCCGCGAGCGCAAAGAGCGCCACGTCAAAGAGCTCGAGCAGCGGCTGGCGTCGCTGGAGCAAGCGAACACGCGGGCCGCCGTGGAGAACGACAAGCTCAAGGCGGCGCTGGAGAAGACACGGCTCGAGAACCGTTTGCTGCACGAGAACACGATTCGCGGCAGCGGCAGCAGCGGGAGCTTGGGCGGCGGCAGTGGCGGGCGGCACTCCCCGCCGCCTGAAGTCGGCCCCATGGCGTTCAAACCGCTGGACCCAGAATCGCTGCGCTCCAACCCGCCAGCGAAGTTTACCTCGCCGATATTTGGGCAGCACCCGAACCGCGGGCCGATCCATCGCATCACCACCTCACCGAGCACGGGCGAGAAGCTGCTCGGCGCGGGCGCCGCCTGGGACCTTATCATGTGCCACCCGCTTTATGAACAAGGCCTCGTCGATATTGGTGATATCAGCGAGAGGCTAAAGACCCTCGCTCGATGTGATGGGCAGGGCCCCGTCTTCGAGGAGAGTATCATCCTCGATGTTATACAGGCTAGTCGTGGCAGTGGGAGGGACGAGCTGCTCGTCGATAGTGGGGCACGCGATTATTAGGCGGGCCGGCGGGCGGGATTGTGCGGACTTGGAACTTGGAACTTGGAACTTGGAACTTGGAACTTGGGACTTGGGACCGGGTGTTGGATAGGTTGGGATGGGATGGAGATTGGCGCCACTTCGTTTTTTTTCTTCTTTTTTTCTTCTTTTTTTCTTCTTTTTTGTTTCTGCTTTTCTTGACCTTTCTGTCGTGTTTTCTGATTCTTTCGTTATGGATACCTTGCTTCATATGCTTACTTTTTCATCTGATCTGATCTGATTCACTTTTCTCTCTCGAGTCTGAGGAAAACAGTCAACAGTCAAAACGTCAACACTTCAACAGTCGTCAAATCGACAAATCGTTCTGACACTTCGGCACTTCTGGCACTTCTGGCACTTCTGGCACTTCTGGCACTTCTGGCACTTCTACTCTACATACGGTACTCCTCACTCACTGTGTATCTACCTCCACCAAGAGTAGCTGTGGATATCCCCCTCCCCTGCAATGGGTGGTGAGCCGGGGTAACCACATATTCATCTTTTCTTCTTGCACTGCCTCACTCGTTTAACTTTAGAGTCTTAGAGTCGGTACATAACGACAACTCTAAGTATGGTTGGGGACGCCTATAACCGGAGTGAATTGCGACATTCATTTTGGCTGACAAATCACGAGTGATTATAGTGTGTCTACGCCAAAAATGGGGGGTTAATAAGTGCGCCGCAGGTAATTTTTCGAATACAGAGCAAGTAATTTTCGTAATTATGAAGATTTTTGGGCCGTATGGCCCCATTTTTGACCTATTTGGATGTGTTCTGAAGAGGTCCAAGTCGAATAGCACTCATGCGCGAGCTCAGTTTGGATGAGCAAGGATCAATCCGCGCCAAGCTCGAATAAGGCTCACTATATGTCACTCCTATCACCGCTGTGGGAAATTAAAGAGTGCCAGAGCCTTAGTGCATGCTATTATTTGCGACGTTCCAAAATCCTGCCCATACAAATCAATTCTTTTCAACCCGCTTAAATTAATTCATCACGCTTTATATTTTTATTTCGCTTCTATGGCGACCTACTTTAATCCTTCCTCTATCATGCTATAGAGCTCTTTTAATTTTACTGGGTGTTGAGGTTGAGTTAACCGGGGGTGGAGTTGGGCATTTTTTTCACTCCTATTTTAGGTGTCCCCCAACCATATAACCTCCCTACATAATCTACCGCATCTTCGAAATTGCTTCGTGCGAGTACATAGTGCATTGATGGGGGGGGAGGGAGGGGCGACGATGATGATGACGGGCGGCATCGTGCACGGGGAATCACTCGTCTGCGCTCTCGGTCTGCTCTGCGGTCTCGGTCTCGATAGGTGTAGTAAGGGTGAATGTTCTGGTCTTTTATAGCAGAGGAGGTACATAGCAGTAGTAAACAGACATGCATATCGGTCTAGACAACTCCCACCATATAAAACACTCAAGGAAAATGGTAATCAGAAGATGAACCTGAAGCGAAAAACAAAACAAACAGAAGCATGTTCTATCAATACAATACGCGTCCGCCTCTCATCCACGGTACATACATGGTATCTATCTCCAAGATCCAGATACAAGCACCACCATCCCCGGGCCCCCTGTACTATATCATATTCTATCATACTCCCTCCAGCTCTTCAACGGCAGAGCGCTCAGCCTCGTCGCGGCGGGCTTGATATATCCCCAGAAGGTAACAACACCGATGAGTATACACAACACGTTCGTGACATAGTACCCGTCCTGCTGGATGACACATTTGCCGCCCTGGTCTATGCAGCGGTGCTTATCGAGTTCGAGGGCGCAGCTGAACTCCGCAACGGGCTGGGGAAGGTGGAGGTCGGCTTCTCTGGCGGGAAACACGTCGCCGTCGTGAAGTAGTCGACTAGCTTCAGCACGAAGATCCGCGGGAAGGTCCGCCGAGGTTGGAGACGCTGTGGTGGGTGGGGGGTTAGTAAGCGATGATGGGGAGGGCGGGGGAAGGGGGACGTACGTGGCTAGGAGCGTCATGTACGTTCCGCCGATCTCGGGGTCGGCAATCTTTGCGTGGAACGCAGAGATGGCGACGAACATGACGGTGCCGGCGAAGGTGGAGAAAATGTGCTCTGCGATGACGACGAGGAGGTACCAGCTCTCGACCACGCCGTCTTTGGGGAAGATGTACACCGTGATCTGGGCGAGTACGGCGGCGATGAGGCGGCCGACGAAGCCCCACATCCACAGCTTCATCGGCGGGAAGTACGCACACCATTTACCAGCGTAGTAGCCGAGGGCGATCTCGAACGGGAAGTCGATCAGCACCGTCAGTGCCATGTCTTCCTGCGTGAAACCCTTGTCGAGCAGCTTGAGGTTGGTCACGGCGTCGTTCGCCTGGAAGCCGATCTTGGAGATCAGATGGATGATCACGAACGTCTGGATGTCTGTTGTCATGTGTCAGCATTGTGCCATGTATTTTCATAATAGCCTGGGAGGGTCGGGTACGCTTGAGCTTGAGGACGCTCCACATGGTCTTGTAGACGCTAGCGATGCCATCACGGTTGCTGGTTTTCTCTTCCTTCTTGAGGACCGCGAGACCAATCGTAACAAGCAGGTAGGCCCATCCCCAGAACTGGAGGTAGCCTCCAAGCGTGAAGAGGCCGTTCTTGAGGGGTGTCGAGCGGAAGTAGTGGTTCGAAAAGTCGGCCGAATTGAAGGCGAGGAACACGGTGTTCGACAAGAATTGGCCGGCGGTAAGTCCGACGGTCTGAGCGGTCGACGCATACGAGAGGTTCTCGGGGGATATCAGAGTTAACGCCCAGCCTGTCAAAGCACGTTAGTCATACGATCTCGAGCCAGATGGCGCCATGAAACCCGGGGTGCATATATGGGCTGCAGGCGATAGATGGCGCGGGTAATAGCCTCACGCTCGGAGGGAGAGGAAGGAAACATGCATACCGTCCACCGCAACGTCCTGCGTCGCGCAGAGCATCACCAAGCAAAAGAACACCCATGTGAAGAAGTAGAGCCTCGTGTTCGCCTCTTCCATCATCTTCTCCGCCTGCCCGCCCAACCAGAGCAACATGATGGCGCTGACCGCCTGCACCGGAACGATCCAACTCTTGCGCCGGCCCATCCGCGGGCTCCAGATTGCGTCGACGATCGGCGACCATAACAACTTCATCGAGTACGGATACGACGCCAGTGTGAACACGCCAATCTCGCCGTACGAGAGCTTCGACTTGAGTAGGAACGGCACTGAGCCCATCGCCAGCCCCATCGGCACGCCCTGCAGGAAGTAGAGCAGCACCAGCAGGAAGAAGTTGCGCCTATCCTTTGGCGACAGGTCCATCAGCGACGCGGCCGCGGGCTTCGACACATCGTGATCGTGATCGAGCGAGAAGGATTCCCGAGCGATGAGGTGTTCCGTCTGCGCGGCCGAGGATTCCCCACCTTCCACCCCTACCTTCCCGCGCCGGAACTCGACCGACGACGAGGAATTCATGCCCTTGCGCTTGCCGGATGATGAGCCACCCCCTCGTCTGCTACGATTCATTCTCTCTCCCGATCGGACCGAAGCGGTGGTGGTGCTGCTGCTGGAGTCGGTGTCGTCAGTGTCTTCTACGTCTGGGTCGTACAGGGGCTGAAGTTCAAAGTCCTGAGTGCTGGTCCTGTTCGTCCGGAAGTAATTGTGGTCGGTGCTGGTAACGTGGAGAGGAGAGAAAGACATGCACAGCACTGAGTCTAGAGTAGATGTGGATCTCCTTTGCTTCTAAGCTGCTCCCAAGCAACTAGGTAGGTGGAGATATCTAGGCCCTTCGAGAGGTAGTTGGGCGAGCGCGTCAAGACAGGGATTCGTTTAATGCTCCACCGTGTTCAGATGATGTGGTAGCAGGGACTAGTTTGGAGTAAGTAGTCAGAGTTTAGCAGAGGATTTCGACGAGGGTCCGGATCGGAAACGACGGGTGAGACAGATAAGATAAGATTTGATCGGAGATTTGAATGAGAACGACGCCGGGACCACGGTACTAGGTATACGCACGATTGGCGATTGGGCAAGGACGATCTTGGTCGGGTCCCAGAAGCATGTCTATACTCTGCAGAGGCGTGGCAATCGCAGCTATGTTTACGCCTTACTCCCTTCCGGTGGTTCACATGCATACAGTGGCTATCATCGGCCCTGCCACTCCATTGACTCTGCTAGGCGGTACATACAGCTGTTACAGACCGTCTTGGGTTCCCAGCTATCCGTCTGGTGGGTCGCTCCTTATACTCGCGATCATTGCAGCGCAAACTCGGTACAGTGTGCGGTCTCGTGCGATAGGTTGTGGGCACCTCCCTTTTCCGGAAGCGGAAGCAAAGGAAGCTCACGGTGGAGGCGGGCGTGCGTCTGATACGAACCATGTACAGCTCAGCAGCACTATTGGTGAGTGATCTTTGATGAATGATATCAATGGGAACGTGTATCTATGCTCTAGGTAGTACCAGCTTATACTTTCCAACCATGTTGGTGGATCTCAAGATGGTCAACGAACGGGCTTCCATCCTCTTGCGCACCCGCCTCACGGAATATCACTTCGATTTGACCGCCGGAGCACGCCAAGGACCCTGCCAATCCCGCGTCTCCAGGATGTGCACATCCACGACCGCACATCCACCCGCAATGTCTCCATCGGCAGCATCATCACCGCAGAAATGGCCGTCACCGACACCGCCACATCCGACGCGCTCCCCTTCCACGAGCCGCCCATAACGCAAATCCTCGTGCACGTCTCCTTCCTCCTGCTCCTCAACATCGTCAACCACCTTCTCGATGCGCTTACCTATTGCGGGCTGGTCGGGCAAGTGCTCCTCGGCGTATTCTGGGGCACACCACTCGGCGGCCTCCTCCCACGCACAACCGAGAGCACCGTCGTAACACTCGGCTACCTGGGGCTGATCCTGATCGTGTACGAGGGCGGGCTGAACACCGCTCTGCGGCCGTTGATGCAGAATCTCGTGCTCTCGAGCATCGTCGCGGCCACTGGCATCGCGCTTCCGATCGCACTGTCGTTTCTACTGGGACCCCTGGCGGGCGCGACGAGCTTGCAGTGCTTTGCGGCCGGCGCTGCCCTCTCCGCAACGAGTCTGGGTACCACGTTTACCATCCTGGCCAGCGCGGGCATGGCGGATACGCGTTTGGGCACTGTGCTCACCAGCGCGGCTATGATGGATGATGTTATCGGGCTGGTGATGATTCAGGTTGTGGCGTCGCTTGGTGGGAGTGGGGGTAATGTCAGCGGGGAGGCGGTGGCAAGGCCGGTGGGTGCTAGTGTTGGGCTGTTGATTGCGGTTGTGATTGGGGGGTGGGGCCTGAAACGGACGCTGGGGACAGTCGAAGTGAAGGGGTGGGGGGAAACGCTGAAGGCGAAGGTGGTAATGCAGACGGCGATGCTACTCGCCGTGGTGACGGCGGCGAGTTACGCTGGTGCTTCGGTGCTTTTTGCGGCCTTTTTGGCGGGTGCTGCGGTGGGCTGGTGGGATGATGTCCGCACGAGAGGGAAAACGGGTGATAGAGTCTCTGGGGTACATGTCTTCGAGACCTATTACTCCCCCATCAACAGGCGGCTTTTGGCACCGTTCTTCTTCGTAAGTACCACCCACGCAGCAGTTTCTGAGGATGCCTTCTGATCAGCGACAGGCATCAATTGGCTTTTCGATCCCAATCCGCCAGATGTTCGCCGCCACAACCGTCTGGAAGGGGCTGGTCTACTCCCTCCTGATGGTGCTCGGAAAACTAGCTACAGGCGTCTGGCTCCTCCCCGTATCGCCGGTGCTGACAACGGTATCGCAACGGCTCCGCGAATTGCGGAAGCTGGGCGTCACACCCGCACCTCCAATTCCCCATACTCCCCAAAGCACTCCCACTACTACTACCACCGAACCCAAATCGTCGGAGGCCGCTTCCCCCGCAATCGCCGCCGCAGAAGACGCTAAACCCCCGAAATCCCTCTACCCAGCCTCGATTCTTGGGCTAGCCATGGTGGCGCGCGGAGAAGTTGCATTCCTTATCGCATCCGTGGCCCAGTCCTCGGGGATATTTGATTCCTCCGAGGGATTGTATCTCATTGTCGTCTGGGCCGCCATGGTGTGCACCATTGCCGGCCCGCTGGGCGTGGGCAGTCTTGTGCGCCGGGTGAAGGCGCTGGAGAAGACGCGCGCTGATACACGAGGCAATGGAGGTGTCAGTGTGTTGGGTGTTTGGGGGGTTAGTTGATGCATGTACACAAGAGAGAGAGAACATCAATTTATTGTCGCATGCGGCCTTACGAGACTATGGCGACCAACCGATGTATGTAAACGGAGATCATATGCGAGGAATATATAGAGTCCGAGTGTTTATCCGTGATCCCGGGTCGAGAGCCAAACGCCCAATTTCGATCCCGACCATCCGGTAAAATATCCCGACGTTAAGCCATAGTTAACCTCACCCTCGTTTTACATACCTACCACGGCCCCCCTCCCTCTCGTAGATCGTTCGCCGGAACCCATTCCGTCCGTCTCACAGTCCTACATATGTACTTACTTTCTTACTTGCACGCACGCATAGAAGGTCGTATTCGCTTCTTCAGCCGGGATGTTTTGCCTATGTAATCTACCGGAAAATACGAAGATATGCTTGAACGGCTCGTTAAACTGAAACGCGGCACCGTGACCCCGTGGTCCGACAGAACCGTTGCGCCGTCCATGCGCCTCTCACACAGCGCCGGAGTCCGGCGGATCAGCAGGATCTGTGCCACGGAAGGGCGGGCGGGCGGCACCTGAGGGGGATCAAAGGGATGAAAGGGAGGGAAGAATGATGGAAGGGATGGAAGGAGGGAGGGAAATATATAGCCTACACATGCCCACCTCCTCGAAAGCAAGCAAGCAAGACGGAAATAAAATAAAATAAGAAACTATGTTGGCTGACAGCGAAATCGCGCTCCTCCTCGTGATCGGAAACTTCTTGTCGGCGTGCTGGAGCTACTTCTGCATCGTGTCCTCACTGAACCAGTACCGGTTCATGCGGCGTGAAGAGGTGGTCTGGGTATGTATCTCCTCTCCCCCCTCTCCCCCCAAAACCCTCCCCTCTGTGTTGTCTTGTTTGCTCACGATGGATACATAGTATGCGCTGTGGTACAGCTGCACCACCTACGCCTTCCTCGTGTCGGTCACGAATCTGGGCGTGGCGGCGTACGTAGCGGTGCGCCTCGGGTGGCGGGGAAAGGTCTTTGGGCGGGGGAGGGTGGCGCTACGGATTCTCGGGGCGGCGGTGGCAGCGGTACTGGGGGCTATGCTGTGTTTCGTGCCGTTACGGATGACCATGATGCAGGCTGAGCGGGCGGGGGTGGGGCATTTGGGATGAGATGAGATGGGATGGGATGGGATTTGTTTTTGCTCGGGCGTTTGGGTGTACTTAACCAAGGAGTATTTATATTATACGGTTCAATTCATTGACTGGCGGTTTACAAAGGACGTATCCGCGCACTAACCGCCTCCTTCACGCCGAGCGTCAACACGGCGGCCTTCTGCGCCTCACCCACCGCCTCCTCCAGCGGCAGACCACGGACCATAGCGGCCACCAGAACGCCGAGGAACGTATCCCCCGCGCCATTAACGCTTTGCACGCCGTCCACTCCCAGCTTCTCAGCGGCAAAATACCTCACCTCGACACCACCCACCTCCTCTCCCTCCCGTGCCTCCACAACAACACTCTCCCTAGACCTCCGCGGCTTCTCGCCCACCTCCAGCAGGCGCACAACAATGACGCCCTGCTCGCCCAGCTTAACGAACAGCCGTGGGATGTACGGCAGCAGCGACACCGCCTTCTGGACGATTCCGCTCTCGGAGAGGTCGACGCCGGTGCGCGCCGCCAGTTGGTCCACGCGGTCGCGGAACCCGCTGTCGATCGTGAGTGCATCGATCGTGGGCCACCACGGCAGCGACGTAGAGAATAGCTCCGCCGCTGTCGCCGCAGAGTACATGCTGTCTAGCTCGTGGATGTTGGGCGCCGCAAGGTACAGCGCACATGAAGGGTGCGAGGGAAGCGTGGCGTGGAAGATGTGTGCTGATTTTGCGGTGGAGGTGGGTTCGAAGATGGCTGGTGGGCACTCACTCGTTAGCTGTATGCACACGGTATCACTCGGGTTAGGAGGGACCTTTGATCCCGGATTTGAGACAGTATTCGAGCACTCCCTTTGTCGTCTGCTGTGATAGATTCCCGTCGAGAACCACCCACTCCGCATTCGCAGCTTTAATCACCTCGGTGACATCTGCTGTCCCCAGGTGCTCGATGACCCTCATGTCCGCACTAGCAACGAACAGCCCGCCGTTGGCATCGTTGACGGCAACATACCTCGCTGTAGCGCGGGCCGGGTCGGTGAAGATTCCCTCGGTATCCATCCCGCGCTCCTGTACGCGCTCGCGCACCCATGAGCCGGCAAGGTCTGCGCCGACGGAGGATACTAAGCGGGTCCGCACGCCGGAGAGGTGCAGGGCGTAGGCAACGTTATTGCCGACGCCGCCGAGGGACTCGGTGATGGTAGACGGGTTGGAGGTGTGCAGACTTGGAGTCGGCGAGGAAGTGTCGCAGTTTACGTCTACGGCTACACCGCCGACTACGACCACCTCTGGGGGCGGCGATGGAACTACGGGGTTTGCCTCCTCCTTCGGGCGTATCTGCGAGGGTGGGATGTGCGGCATATGTGTCTGCCTACGCTCGCTAAATACA